GCCTGCTACCAAGTCCAGGCTTCAGCATCCCAGTGGGCCTTTGCAGCGGGCACAACCTTCCGCTATTCCCAAACCCAGCCCCCGGGACACAGAGATGGAAAGTAATTCTGCATCTGCCAGTTGCCTCATGCAAAGCGGGGAAGCTTGGGGGGACTGATGCTGCAGCCAGAAGGGGGAAGGCCTGGGCAGCAGCATGGGACAGGGACAGAGCATGGGGAGTGGGGAATTGCTGGAAGCATCGCAGGTGGGAGCCCAGGAAATGCACTCATGCCCAAAATGCTGTATTAATTGGCACTATGTGGCCTCCTGCCAATGTGGGCTAGCAGCATCTGGGCTTGGAGCCTTCACCCCATGGTCTTTTGGGGTCCTGGGAGTGCTGGTGCCTGTGGGCCTCGGATGAGCAGCCTGGCTGAGCCCTGGGCTGCCCTAGGAGAGGTGCGGTGTAGCTGCTTTGGGGTGGCAGCCTCTGTGCTTATTGTTTGTCCACCATAGCCGCTGTCAAGGTTGGGGGTTGCAGACAGCCGTCCTGGAGGCTCTCCACAGCAATTCCTACCACGGCTTCTCGCTCCCGACTGCGGCCGCTGGGAAAAGTGGCTTCCCCCAAGCGCTTTTGCCTCGGTAAGGATGAATCTGGGCAGAAGCCCTGGAGGCACCGGTGTCATGGGAGGAGGGGGTTTGCTGCCTTGGGGAGAACATTCAGGACTCTGCTGCAGTCAAGGCTGATCCTGTGGAAAGGACAGGAGGGGGCAGAATGTGCTTGGGCTCAGAGGAGGGGAAGTGAAATGCGGAGTTAGGAGAAGTCCCTTTCCCTGGAGAGCCTGAACAAATCTGGTGCTCTAGCTCATTGGTAGGAACGGGGGAAGCCCTGGTCAGCACATGTTGCTGCCAGGGCACTCTCTGAGCAGGAGTTGATGCTCTTTGCTTTCATTTCCTGGACCCCACTTCAGGATCAACTATGCAGGAGGTGATGTGCAATACGACCCAAGAGCTGAAGGCAAACGGTGAGAGCAAAGAACAGCTGGTTGCAGCAGGGACTGTCTTGGGAGCAGGTGACAAGTATGGAGGTGTGGTCCCATGCAGGAGTGGGGAGCTGGAGCCTGCTCCTCTGTAGAGCCCCTTTAGAGCTTTCCTGGCTCCCGACTGCCAAAGACCTGCTGAAACCCAAGTGTCCTGTGAGTGTACTACAGAGAGGAGAGTCTATGTTTCTGTGTTGGGCTCTGGTGGAGTCTCGCTTTGTGTCAGGGTGAGCATGGGGAAACATGGGCAGCTGCTTATTTGGCAGTGCTGTTCCCCAGCAGGGTCCTCACTGAGCAGGTGCACCTGGGGGTGCTCCAGCCCTGCTCTGCAGGCAGGGTGCCTGCCTTCCCCAAGAACTGCAGCTGAGCAGCATGCAGTTGTGGGCCCTGCAGAGGAAGAGGAAGCAAGGAGTCTATCCCTGCTCTGCTGGGCAGCTCTGCCCTGCCCAGGGCAGCTGTCTGCCCTCCCTCTGCAAGCAGACTCCAAACAGGAGCCCAGAGCTGCTGGGAGCTAGGCCATGCAGGAGCACCTTCTCCTAGCAGCACCTGTACAGGCCAGGCCAGCAGCAGCCATGGGGCTGGAGGGGCTTGAAGACCTCTGGCTCCCTTGGACAAGTTCTGTCCCTGGTCTGGAACAGCTCTGTGGCCTGGTTGAAGAGGGGCTGGGGATGGTGGTTGCGTTTCTAGTGACAACACTTCTCTTCACAGGTAAGGCTGACCAGACATGGGTGTGTGTTGGGTCCTCTTTTTCCAGTGAGTTGGCCCCTGGCCCAACTCCAGGGTGTGGAGATGCAGTCCCTGCTGAGCAGGTAAGGGCCAGCTGTGTCCTGGCACCATGGAGCACTGTTCAGCTGGTGGCTTGGGCCAGCTGTGCCAGAGGAGGGAAGTGATGAGACCTGGAGCTGCCAATTTCTGGGCTGGCACCTGAGCTGTTTTAGCCTTTTCCCTGGGGTTTACACAAGACCTTTTGCATTTGCTGCATGGCTTTACCACCTCTCTGGTGCTCGGGGGACTGCAGGCTTCTGTCCAGTTAATTTTTTTAAGCGGCTTTTGAAATGTGCACACAGCCTGTGTCTTGTGGTGTCACTTTTACACCTCCTGACATGTTGGACATGTCCCCAGGATGGGGTGAGCAGAGCCTGCAGCAAGGAGAGGCTCCAAAGTATGAAGTTTCTTACCTGCAAAATACATTTGTGTATTTGCCAGCAGTTTTAGGGCTCTTTGCTGTGTGGCTGTAGCCTGCCAAAGGGATCCCTGTGACCCATGGGCACTGGCAGTTGCTCACTGACAAGCAAACAGTGGCTCCTTTGCCAGGCAGCGCTGCTGCGATGAACACAGCCTGGCAGTGATCCGGTGGGTGTTAGGCTTGGGGTGTCAGTTGGGCTGCACTGCAACAGTGCTAGGCTCCTGAAGCAGGGGTGAATGTCAAAATGGGGCCCTGCTCTAACACGCTGAGGGGGGTGAGCAGGGCTCCCCAAGCCCAGGAACCGCTGGGGTGTGTGTGCTGCCTGCAGGAAGGGCTGGGCTGGGACTGGGCTGCGGGCCACTGCATGGAGGTGACCACCTCTTGCACCACACTTGCACCCTGCCCTTGCCAGTCTGCAGGTGATCAGCTGTCCCAGGAGCTGAAGCGTGTAAAGAACGAGCTGGAGCGAGTGAAGGGCGAGCTTGGTATGTGGAGCTGGCTGTTTTGGGGGCTGCAGGACACCCGCAATCCAGATGACACCCCCTGCACTTGTACCTGGAGCCCAGCGCCTGCAGCTCCGTGGGGATGGGGCTGGCTTCTTGTTTGGGGGTAGAGCAGGATCCCAGCTGCTACCCCAGAGAGTCTGGGGGTGAGGTGTTCAGGATGGGCTGAGCACACACCTACTTGCCTCCTGCCTGCAGCTGACAAGACTGCCCAGTGTGAAGCCTATCGTCAGACGATCTCTTCCTTGCAGGCTCAGCTCAGAGCAGCAGGTATGTTCCCTTGCTGGGGGTGGGCCCTCACCCCTGGGCAGGCTGCAGGGATGCTCCAGTGATCCCTTGCCAACGTAACTGAGGGTTGCCAGGTAGAAGGGACACAGCTCGTGGCCTTCCCTGTGGGGCAGATGCTGAGTGCTGGGGAGCAGCAGTGCTTTGATACTGCTGTTGCTCCCCAGGAATCTGTCCGGAAGATGCAACAGTTGAGGAGAGTGGTGACTTGGGGAGAGACTGACAGCTGGCACATGGGGACAGACTCACAACAGCCACTTGTCCAGCTGCCTGAGCTGCTGGGCCAGTGATATTTGTAGAGCTATTTTTTAACCCCTTGTATTTAAAATAAAGGTGTCTTTTCCCAGTGATGCTTGCTGTCTGCTGGGGTAGGGCCAGTGCCCAGTGCTGCCCTCTGCTCTGCAAAGGGCTGGGCAGAAAGGACGGGTCTGTGTCTGGCTGTGGCTGCTTCTGCTCAGACAGAGACTTGAGGTCTGCTGCATGGAGGAAGTGGGTGCTGGTGGATGGAGGCACAGCACGGCTCTGTGGAAGCCTTTCTGAACAAACTTGGTGCTTCTAGGTGTATGCTTGGATGTGTGGTGGTGGCAGGCAGCTGTATGGGCAGGTTTCTGCCTTAAACTACCTTCATGCTGGATGTGGGAAGAGCCAGTGCTGGCTGATGGGCTTCTGCAGCTCTTAGCTGCTACTTACCATTTTATTAGCTGGTGACTTGTGTCAGTGCCTGGAGGCAAATGGTGGGGAAGCAGCACTTGGGCTCAGTCCCTCACTGTTCCTGCCTGCCAGCGCTGGAAGTCCTGCCATCTTCTCTCTGTGGTAGGTTGATTCAGGCACCTTGTTGTGCCTGCCTTACATCTGGGTGAGGCCCTGGAAAGTCCTGCTGTCTGCTGCTGGCAGCACCCCAAGGCTGGGCCAGGAAGGCTGGCCTGCTCCCACTCCCCTGTTATCTTCAGATGGTGTTCGTGGCTGCCCAGAGTGACGCAGGCAGCCTGCACCTCTTCATGTGGCGGCTGCCCTTGGCTGTGCATAGGGGTGGCTGCACAGGGAAGCTCCATCTGCTGCGTCCCACCCCTGCTTAGCGCTTGGTCGCCAAGGCGAGCAGCTCCAGTGCTGGCATGACTGTTGGTCACAGAGAAAAATTGCAGCAAAACTTCGACCCTCAGTATGGGGAGAGCAGACTTTGGGCTGCTGAAGGGGCTAGCTAGTAAGATTCCCTGGGAATCTGTTTTTGAAGGTATTGGGGTCTATGAATGCTGGTAACTTTTTAAGAGCCATCTCTTAAGAGTGCAGGAGCAGGCAGTTCCAAAGTGTCAGAAGTCAATCAAGCAGGGCAGAAGCCTGGCTTGGCTGAGCATGGAGCTGCTTCTAGAACTTAGGTGGAAAAGGAAAGTGTATGGACATTGGAACCAAGGACAGGCAACACAGGAGGACTACAGAGATGCTGTCTGCCGCTGTAGGGAGAAAAATAGTGTGGCCAAAGCTCGGTTAGAGTTCAGGCTGGCCAGCAATCTGAAAGACAGCAAAAAGGGCTTTTTAAAATATGTTAATAGCAAAAGGAGGATCGGAGGTAACATTGGTCCATTACTTGATGAGGTCAGTCACCTCACAAATGGGGGCATAGACAAGGCAGAGATGTTTAATGCCTTCTTCACTTCTGTCTTCAACACTGATGATGGACCCTGGGACCTCTGGAGCCCTGTGTTTGAAGACTGTGACTGGGGGGATGGTAAACTCCCAGCTGACCCTGAACTTGTTCGAGACTTGCTGCTCCAGCTGGATGCGCATAAATTTGTGGGGCCCCATGGGATTCATCCCAGGGTGCTGAAAGAGCTCGCCGATGTCATGGTGGGACATCTCTCCATTATTTTTCAGTGGTCCTGGGAGTGTGGAGAGGTCCCAGTCAACCGGAAGCTGGCAAATGTTGTCCCAATTTTCAAGAAGGGTAAGAAGGAAGAGCCTGGTAATTACAGGCCTGTTAGTCTCATTTCAGTGCCTGGTAAAATTTTGGTAAAAGTGTGTCCAGAGGAGGGCAACCAAGAGGGTGAAATGCCTCCAGGGCCTTATGAGGAGCCGCTGAAGTCACTTGGTTTGTTCATCTTGGAGAAAGAGAAGTGCACAGCTTCCTCAGGGGGGGCAGCAGAGGGGAAGCTGCTGATCGATCTCTGGTGGCCAGCGATAGGACAGGAGGAAATGGAATGAAGCTGCATCAGGGTAAGTTCAGATTGGACATTAGGAAAAGGTTCTTGAGTGAGAGGGTGGTCAGTCATTGGAACAGGCTCCCCAGGGAAGTGGTCATGGCATCAAGGTGTGTCTGGATGATGCTCTTAGTCATATAGTTTAGCTTTAGGTAGTCCTGCGAGGAGCAGGGAGTTGGACTTGATCTTTATGGGTCCCTTCCAACTGGAGATATATTCTGTGATTCTATGCTCCAGTCATGGAAGGTGATGGGGCTCCAAAGGCTGATTTGGATCTGCTTCTGCAAGGCTTTTGGCCCCCTTTCCAGGCTGGAGCCACCTCCTACCCTTCCTTGGCACTGGCTATGTGTGCCCTGCCACTGTCTGCCTTCCTCCCACTCCTGTTGGGACGTGTGCTTGGCTTGCTCTATGCCTCCTCCTGCTCCTGGCCCTTGGCCCATGCTGCTGGATCAGGACCATGAATGGTGGGGGGAGCACGGTAGATTGGGAGGTGAGAATGGGGCACTGGGAAGATGGGTGTGGAACTGTGTGTGAGGTCTGGGAGCTGGAGCCACCTTTGGTGCCCCAGTGCTGCTCCCTGCCTGAAACTGCCTCCCAATGGCTGATGTCACAAGAGCATTTCTGGGAATAGGCGAGTGAGTCTTTGCGTCATCTTCCCCTTGCTGCTCTGGGTACTCGGCCTCTGCTTGGCTTGGCCAGGGCATCCCCCTACGGAGCCCTGCTGTGTCCAGAGAGCTGCCAGTCCTGCCCGAGAGCATCCTCAGCAATGGTGCTGCCCGCAGCATTGCAGGCAGGTCGCTGCCTGCTGCAGGCAGCCCAAGAAAGAGCAGGAGGCGCCTGGGTGCTAACAGTGAGGCTGCAGGGGATTTCCTTATCTCGGTCTTCAGCTCAGTTCCTCCATGGCGGGGAGCATGCGGCTGCGAGGAGGATTGTTAGTGAGCCACGGTTCATTCATGCACAAGGGCTGAGAGTGGGAGGAGAGCCTGCGTCACTGCCCGGCAGCTGCACTTGCAAGATGCTGCGTTGCTTTTTCCATTGCCTTGAGGTCATTTTGACAAATGGAGCCTTTTTGTCTTCCTGGCTCTTGTGTGTGCACACCCAGGGTAGGTGGGGTGGGCAGGCACCCTGCGCAGGGCCTGTAGCACCCTGCCCGGTGCTCCTGGCTGGAAGCCTGTTGCTTCTGCATCCTCTGCAGTTCTGCTGGAGCAGAGCCTCGCCTGCGATGCCAGGGAGCGGCTGGCTCACCTCCCGGCATCGCTGCCTGTTTGGATGGGTGCTCACGACACACGAACGCTGGATTGCATCAGGAGCAGGTTTTCTCCTGCGTCCTGGAGAGACGGGTGCTGGGTCCCGCCTTGCTCTTTGCTGTCGGCCCGACTGCCGAACAGTTCTCCCGAGACTGGTGTTTCCCATCCCTTCGAGCTGCCTGTTGCTCCCGTAGCGGAGCAGCGTGGGCGCGGGCCGGGACTCACGGCCTGCGGAGCGCATGGGGGTCAGGGCAGAGCCCCCTTCCACGCCTCGGGCTGAGCTCCAGCTCCCTCCCTGTGGCAG